GCTGGTGTCTGTAGCCCGATGGGGAGCAGAGGGAGGAGCACACACTGTAGGGAAAAATGTGTTGAAGTGGAAAACCTGAAGGGAAAAAGGCTGGCTATAAGGGGAGGGGGCAGCGAGGAATGTGAGGAATGTAGACCGCCTGGCACAGAGAAAGGCTGTAGAGAGGCGGTGAAGAGAGAGAGCGAGGCGTCACTTCAGCCTCCTGAAAGCTGAAAGGTCAGGAGAAGCAGCGGCTGCAGGGGAGGCGCTTGGAGGAGGGCTGCCGTAGGAGTCCATGGGGCCTGCGGTGGCCGGGGAGCAGGCTCCGGCTGCCTGTTCTGCAGGGTGGCGTGTAGGGGGATCTGATCTGATGGAGAGATTATTAGGCAGGGGAGCTGTCCGTGGTTTTAGTGACTGCGGAGAGAGATGGGGTGAGGAAGTCACAGCAGGGTGAGAGGCTGCTGCAGCAGGTGAAAGGAGGGGTGGCAAGGCCGGAAGCTCAGGAAACTTTAGTGGAGGAAACTGAGGAGCTGCAGCTGGGGCTTGGGGAGGCGAGTGAAGACGGGGCAGCGTCTTCCGGAGGACCCAGGAAGCAAAGGGAGGGGCCCTGGGCGGAGCCGCCCCAGCTAAGAGTACATGGACCCCTTTGTACTGTGGAGGGAGGGAGGGAGGGAGGGAGGGAGGGAGGATGGATGTGTGAGCGAGGGACGGATCCTCACAGAGAAAAAAGCCAGATTACTGGGGATTTCCTGCCCTTTGCCAGTGTGGTGACAGTTCCCCAAACTTTGGAGAATTAGTGGATCAGAAGGGGTTTTTTGATAGGCCACTGGGTTTAACTGTCTAGCTTATATTGTGGCCAAGCTGTCTGGCAGCAAAAGATTAGCCATTTTGGTTTTATTACCTTCCGGAGGCCTAGGAAGCCAAGTTATGGACAAGACAACCCAATGGAGTGTCTTCTCGAGGTTGGTAATGAGGATTTCCCATGGTAATCAAATTGGGGCTGAGTTGGGCTTTAAAACCAGGAAGGCGAAAAAATAAATAAATAAATAAATAAATAAAAACAGGAAGGCGGATCTTTGCTGCATCTCCTGCAAGAATGAGGACAATGGGGCTGGGGAGATGGCTCAGTGGAATAAGCGCTTCCCTGGCAAGCACAAGGGTCTGAGTTCAATCCCTGGTTCTGAAAAAAGAATAAAGACCATTCTTAGCAATCAGACTGTTGACATTCCAGAAAATGTCGACATCACTCTGAAAGGACGCACAGTTATTGTGAAGGGCCCCAGAGGAACCCTCTGGAGGGACTTCAACCACATCCATGTGGAACTCAGTCTCTTAGGGAAGAAAAAGAAGAGGCTCTGGGTTGACAAATGGTGGGGAAACAGAAAGGAGTTGGCAACTGTCCGCACAATCTGCAGCCATGTGCAAAACATGACCAAGGGGGTCACGCTGGGCTCCCGTTACAAGGTGAGGGCTGTGTGTCACTTCCCCCATCAACATCGTTTTTCAGGAGAATGGGGCTCTTGTCGAAATCCGGAATTTCTTGGGTGAGAAATAGATTCGCCGAGTTCGTATGAGGGCAGCTGTTGCTTGCACAGTATCACAAGCCCAGAAAGATGAGCTGATCCTTAAAGGAAATGACATTGAGCTTGTTTCAAATTCAGCAGGCCACAATAGTAAAAAACAAGGATATCAGAACACATTTTTGGATGGTATCTAACAGTTCAGCGGCCAGATGAGTAAGATCCAAGAGTTAATCCAGCTACAGAAATGACCTTCTGGATTGTAAAGATGATCTGTGATATTTTAATGAAACAATAAAAGAACACAGAGGAAATCTGGGGAAATTGAGGCATTCTCTGGATTGGAACCAAGGCAGGCTGAGGCTTCTGTGGCCTTCTGACAGGGTGGGGTTGGCGGGTGTTTAGATACACCCGAGGAGCTGACGGGGCCTCCCTGAGGGCGGGAGGGCAGCAGGAAACTGCACCCCGGGCTGCGCTGGAGAAGAAGGGGAGCAGGGTGGGCCTTTGTTCTACAGGCTTCAGCCACGTTAGATGACCAACACGGTGACTCAGCAATTTGTACTAGGGCCAGAGCCTGTCAGCAGCCATACCACAGATGGCCAAAGACCAGAGGGAAACTCCAGAAGTTATGCATAATGTTAGGGTTTGGGCAGTGCAGTAGAGATAGGAAAGATAAAAGCAGCCTTTATTAACTCCAAAGACAGGAGAGGATCAAAGGCGGATGGGAAAATCCTCCCACCTCAGACAAGAGAGCTGGGGCTTTTGTGGACTTTCGCTGGGGTGGAGTTGGAGGGGCGGTTTCACTTACATGTAAGGAGCTCATGGGGTCTCCTGGGTGTGGTGGAAAGGTGAGAGGAGATTGTACCTAGGGCTGGAGTGGGGAAGAAGAAAGGAGTGGTCCTTGGGAAGGTAAGCTGCTGTTTTAGGGGCTTCAGCCATGTTAGATGACCACCGTAATGATTCAGCAGTTCATACTGGGGCCAGAACGTGTCACACAATGTGTCAGTTGCATGCTGTAAATCTTGTGCTGCCCAGCCTCCTGGCTGCATCTAGTCATCCACAGGCCCCTGGGTCTCTTTTTGGGACCAGAAACCCTTGTTTCACTTAACAACGAAGCCCAAGCTCTGCCAGCATGAGGCAAGCAGAAGCCACGAGTGCCTCCTTCAGGGCAGAGGCACAAGCTGTGTGGAGCAAAGCCATGCTCTGAGGTCACCTCGATTTACGGTTGTAGGGAATTTTGTCTGTGTTGTTCTGCTTTGTGGGAGTGAGGCCTGCTGGGAGAGCACTTGTCCCCGACTAGTCAAGTGCTCTCCCAATGAGCTGAGCTGCACTGCCCGCTCTTAGAAAGTTTTTATGTGAGACGGGGTTTCCCCAAGTTGCACAGGGTAGATGCAACCCTGCAATCCTCCTGCCTCAGTCTCCTGAGTAGTGGAGACTGCAGGCGTACGCCACCATGTCTAGCAGAATGAAGTTTTTACGTAGGAAAAGTTTCTTTTTTTTTTTTTTTTTTTTTAACAAAGAATGCAATTTAATAAGAACTTAATTGACAGAAGGGCTAGGAGCCCATCTCAGCCAGCAGCAACACAGGGTTCCTAGATTACAGACAAGAGGAGGGGCTTGTATGCTAAGCTAGACCAAGGTACAGTATGTGGGCTTGATCAAGAGCTATTAACATAGGGGCCGGAGAGCACAGCAGAGAAACAGGAAGAAGGAAAGGGCCTTTGTTTTCTTTGAGGACATGGAGAGAATTTGGGTAGAATAAGCACCTGCCTGGCAAGCACAAGGTTCTGAGTTCAATCCTGGTACCACAAAAAAAAGGAAAAAAGAAAAGGACTATTAGCACATCAGAGGTCAGCTAAGCAACAGTCAGGTACCGTCAGGCCTGGCACCAGATGCTCAGCTGACGGCTGTGTGCAGGGCTTCATGGGCCGGGCTTCAAATGCAAGCTGGAATTATCTGGTGGGCAAGACCGTCTCATCACCAAGATGCAAAGCTAAAAGAGTCTAAGGTTGGGGCTGGGGAGCTGGCTCAGGAGAATAAGCACTTGTCTGGCAAGTGCAAGGGCCTGAGTTCAATCCCCGGTTCCACAAATAAAAGGAAAAAAAAAAAAAAAAAAAGTCGAAGGTTTCTTTCCTTAAATGCACTGATTTAATTATTTACAGAGTTGACTTTCACACTGATGGTAAAAATCAAACTAGAACTTACCCAGGAAATTGTAACAAAGGAAAAGAAATTTATGGTCATGGCCATATTGGTGGCTGCTGCTGCTGAGCAGCTGTTGAGTAAAAGGTGGCTGCCCTGCGGCCACTTTCCAGTTGTGATGGGGACCGCAGGGGCTCGAAGTCTCTTCCTCCAGCCAGTCCTGGCTCCACTTCTGCAGGACAGGAGCACCTCCACCGTCGTCACTTTCCCCGACTCTTGACAATTCCTGACTGGTTGGCCTGTGCTTTGCAGGTGCATACAATGGGACACACCTGCTCACCTTAAGCCTAGAGGTGAAAAGCCGGAGGAGGAGGAGGCAGGGGCCTGTTGTCCTGAAGGCCCCACACCTGAGGCCCTGGAGCAGCCCCCTCCTTTTACTTGCTTTGTTTTGCAGCCTGAAGGGTTGGGCTGCCTGGAGTTTGTGGTCCTCCTGCCTCAGCTTCCTGAGTGGTAAGGTTCACGGGTGTGTGCCACAGCTTCCAACAGCCCCACCTCCTATAGTGCCTCTCCCCTCCAGCTGCAAGCTGGGGGTCACCCTGCACTGAGGGAACCCTTAGAGCCAGTGGATCCAACCACAGTGCCTGCTGACTGTCAGCCCGATTCACATGATGCCTCTGACCTTGCCTGGGCTGGTGATGCCGGCTTTGCCCACTCATGGGTTGTGTGGGAATTGGCATTTTTTCCTTCCTGTACATGTTCTGTGTATCCACTTCCTTGTTCTGTATATGGAGCTTATTTGTGTGTGCTGGAGTTCTATCCAACATCAGCTCTGGCCCAGGCTGCCGCCGGTCCCTAAAGGCGGTCTCTATCCCCGGCTCTGGACTGCGCTGCCCCATTCTGCGCTGTCTGCTATGGCGCCTCAAGGCTTTGCCCTTGAAGGCTGCAGCTCCTTCCTTTCCCTGGCCAGAGGGTGCCTGCATTTCTGCAACTTCAATATCAACTTGTCGGACTGCGCAAAGACATTTGCTGGAGCAGGGCATGGTGCACACACCTGTAATCCCAGGTGCTTGGCAGGCTGAAGCAGGAGGGTCCCGTGGGGTGAAGCTCTTTGTTCTCTTCTTAGAGGTGTTATAAAGCTAACAGTTGGCCCAGCTCTCAGTACAGAAGCAAAACAACCACAAAAGGAAACAGAAAGAAAAGCGGCAGTGTTCCAGAGGAGGCTGGTTCCTTAGAAAATCCCAGTACTGTAGGTGACCAGGCTGCTGCAGGACAACAGGACGTTGGTCTCAGAAACATCCCCCCTCCAGGCCTGGAGGGCCCACCCCCCCCACCTCCCCTGTCCCACCTCCCCGTACCCAGGGACCACGTGGATGCAGCGGGCGCTAAGCCTCGTCTTCTGCAAGGGCCATCTCTGGCCCGCCCATCACATCCCCAGCTGGGAGCGTGTGCTGGAGCAGAGCAGCCTGGTCCCTGGCCAGCCTCACCCGTTCACCTCCCACCTGGACGCAGAGCCCTAGGGCCTGCGCTTCTGCAGGGCAGGGCCAGGAGGAGGGGCGGGCATGGGACACAGTAGGCAGGAACACGCGGGCAGCAAGCAGGGGCGGCCGGGCACCTGAAGGTGGATGGGCAGTCCCTCGGATAGGCAGGTGAGGGCGGGTATCGTCCACCATAGCCTGTGACAACTCTGGGGAACTAGGGGAGGAGAGAGAACCCTGGCAGGCTGTGGCAGGCCAAAAGCGCACAGAGCTGAGCCAGCCCTCCTGGGCCAGCTTGGATGGGATGTCCCATCTTCTCCGGTTGGGGCACTGGCACTGACCGTGTCCCCTCCACCTTTGTGGCCCAGGCCTCTGTCTCTCCTGTAGCCAGGGCAGGGTTCTTCCTAGAGCTCAGGCTGAGGTCTGGGGCTCCCCTCAAGGTGGGGTACATGGCATGGAACCCCAAGGAGGTGCTCGACTCCTACCACTTCCACAAATTGGCCAACTTCCTACCAGACCCCAGCTCCTTCGAGGACTTTGTGGATGAGTTTCTTGAGGGCACAGGTAGGTCCTGGGGACTTTGGTGGCTCAGGGGATCCCTATTTCCTCGTCACTGGCTGCTGGGCCAGTGTGTTCATTCATCACTGATAAAATGCCTGTCATCCCAGCACTTGGGAGGCTGAGGCAGGAAGATCCCTGCGACTTCAAAGCCAGCCTGGGTTGCACAGTGAGTGTGAGGCCAGCCTGGGCTTCATAGCAAGACCCAGTCTCAAAGGAAAAAAAAAAGAGTTGAGGTTTGCTTGGCTCACAGCTGGGACCCCTCATCCCTGAGCGGCTCCAAGGCAGAAGGGCAGAGAGCAAGGAGCAGGGACTCACCCATCCAGGTCACACCCAGCGGACACCTCCAGCCATCAGTGGAGACCCTACCAGGTCCCGGGCCCGCTGGCCCTGGCACATCCTCAACTAGGGGCTTCCGAGTTGCAGATATAAACAGCTCCCGCGGCCCCGCCCCCTCGCGGCCCAGCCCCTGGCAGCCTGGCCTGCGCCTCCTTCCCATCTCTCCTCCCAGGCTTTCTTCGGCTCCTGGTTTGAGCTCGTGAGGGGCTGGCTGGGTCTGAAGCCGGACCTGAACACGCTCTTCATCACCCACAAGGAGCCGCAGCAGGTGGGCGCCTCCGCCAGCCCCCAACCTCATCCCGCCACTAATCGCAGATAAGCCCAGGGAAGCATCTTTGTTTCCGAATAGATTCAATCTGTCTGCTCCTCCATCAAGCTCCTACACGCGATCAACAAATACACAGGCTTTCCTGTCTGGGGGCCAGAGAACAGCACGCGTGATGCCAAGGAACCGAGAGTTCCCGGCACAACTCCAGCTCCGGGTGTGAGCGCCCAGCAAGGTTTCCGCTCAGAACAACAAGCGGAAGAGCCCCCTTCCAAGGCAGTGTCTCAGTAAGATGTGTGTGCTAGGGCGTGGGTCGCGGCCCCTGCGCTCTAGGCCAGACTGCCGCTGCACTCTATCCCCAGCACATCTTCTTTTTATTCATTTTCGGACAGCATCTCACAAAGTTGCCCAACTGGGCTCAAACGCCTGTGTAAGGAACCCTTCCACCTCAGCCGCCTGAGCTGGCCACTGGGCTGCTGTTGGAAGCGACTGGAAACGTACTATTAAGTAAAGCAGCCAGGTGCGGTGGTGCCTACCTGTAATCCCAGCTTCACCAGAGGCTGAGAGAAGCGGGTTGCTGGAGTCCAGGAGTTCAGACCGGGGCTGGGCAGCGCGGAGGCCCCACCACCATGAGAAAGGAACCAGAGCACCTCCCGCAAGCCTGGGCTCCCAGGTGGAGCCCTCCTAAACCTTGAGCCGCATGTGCTTAGTTCGCTGGGCCTCGGGCTCAGCCCACACCCACACTTGGCTGTGTCTACCACGCGACACCAGTGACTGAGACAGTGTGGTAGCAGTCACTTCCGGGTTTTTTCAGCAAAAGTCAAAACTCAGTTTCTATAGCTTTTGGATTTAGGAAGGCATTGAGATATGTGACCAAATTCTATAAAATTCAATGAGATCTTTCAATACCAAGTGCATGATTTCTTTAACATAAAACTGTTAAGTCCATAGGGTTTTTTTGGCAGTAGCGGGAATCAAACTCAGGACCTTATGCTTGCCAGGCAGGCGTTTATGCTGCTGAGCTATCTTCTAGGTCCTAGGTCTATAGCTTTTGTTCCTCCCAATCTAGAGGAGTTGTTCATGAGATGGAGCCCCACTATGCAGCCCAGGCTGGCCTAGAACCCTGGGTGACCTTCCTGGCTCAGCCTCTGGGCTGCTGGGGTTCTGGGCACGCACTGCCACGCCAGGTTATCAGAATCCTCGTGCTGCTTTTAGCCCTTTGGAATCGGAGATGATGTTGGCCAGTTTGCACCAGAGACGGGGTGGGGGCCAGGCAGTCCAGGCTGCTGGATGCCCCTGCTGTCCTCATCAGCTTTGAAATCAGGCTTTGCCTCGGCTACTGGGGCATCCCCAGCACTGGCGCCTGGCATGGGGCAGAGACTCGTGCACAGAGTGGACAACAGGGGGATGCTTGCTGGGACAGAGGGGCTGTGAGGAGCCGGCTGATCTCCGGGCCTCCCCTGCCGCAGTTGGGTGGTGACATCCAGAGACATCGCCTGGATGCTGGCTGGTGATCAGAGAAGGTGAGGATGACAGTGGTGCGGGCAGCAGCTCTGTAGCTCTGGGGCCCAGGGGTCCTGGCCACGCCCATCAGCTGTCCAGCTCTTAGGAAGACACCAGCCATCGGCCCTGTCTTTGTCTCTGATCACCCATCTGCCTATCTGCTCGCATTCACCTGTCCGTGTCCCTCCACCTATCCACTCTCTGCCCACCTATCCACCCACCCACCCACCACTGTGCCACCTGACCCATGCCCAGCTGTGTATCTGCCCATCCCTGTGTCCACCCCTCTGGCCCTCGTCTTTCCTTTGTGCCATGGAGCTCACAATGCAGGCGTCATATCTCAGTGCCCTTTCTTCACCCCACACAAATGTTAGCAGCTGCATAATCTTCTATGATATAGATACAGTTTAACTAAATCTCTTCCATTAGTGGGTATTTAGGGTTTCTCCCTGCTATACTGGTGATTAAACCCAGGGTCTCCACACTTAGCTAAACCTTCAACCATTTTTAAGTTGTTTATATTGAGACAGGGTCTTGCTAAATCAACAAATTGTCCTGCTTGGCCCTGAATTTGTAAGCCTTCCCCAGCCTCCCAGAGTGCTGGGCTTACAAGCATGTGCCACCATGTCAGGCTAACATTTAAGTTTTTCCAACTTCTTGCAATAGCAAGTCTCATGGGACTGGGTGGCTTTGTTCAAATGTGTGACCACTCCTGTGGTGCCACCTTTACCCATCCCTGCGCTCTGGTGCAGGCGCCCCAGGCCACCCTGCAGAAGCTCAGTGACTTCCTGGGATGTCTGATGGGGCCTGAGGAGAAGGACTCCATCCTGCAGCACTGCAGCTTCCGCTTCGTGAGCCAGAGCTGCATGGTCACCTATAGCCTGGTGCCTGAGCAGGTCATGGACCCCAGCCAGGGCCGCTTCCTTCAGGAAGGTATGAGCTTGGTCCCTGAGTCTCCCACACCTCCCCTTGCTGAGGCCACACCCGGCCCTGCTGCCCTGGCAGTCCTGCCTCTGAACACCCTGTATCCCCATGGCTTCTGCCTGGGGCAGCCCCTCTCCAGGGTGGTGAGCCTTGGAGAGACTCCCAGGCCCTGGCTTCTCCCCGACAACAGCTGCCATGGGCAGGCTTTCCTCTGTCCCTGACCACATCTGGCTCTGCCCCCGTGATTTGGGGGCCCTGACCCACTCCGCTCCAACGCTGGTGCTCCCAGGAGGCTGCCCTTCGCATCATCCCCAGGGTCCAGGCTCTGAAGCCCCCTGCAGGCTCTTACCCTACCACTTTGAAGTCTGAAAGCCAGCATGGTGGCCTGCATGGCTCATAGAAGAGGGGTCGCAGACAGTCACTTAGACACAGGCGGTGTGGCCCAGTGTCAACCCACGCAGCTCCTAGAAAAGCTCTGAACAAAAAGGAGCCCATGCTGGGCCCGGGGCAGCTGGCATCTCAGGAGACGTGCTGCCTGCACGCGGCACTCGTACCCGGGACGAGTGGGGTTTGGACCCCACACTGCCTCGCTTAGTGATGCTAGCCCTGTTGTGACGGCACCTGAAGACACCTCGGTGCTTCCTGGGTCCCCGTGGGGCTTGGGGTACCTGGCTGGCAACGCTCTATGGTCTGAGCCCCTCGGAGCCTCCCACATGCAGTGTCCTGGGCCCTCAGCTCCCCTACTCCTCTGTGGGCAAAGGCGCCGTGAGCTCTGGGGCAGCTGAACAACCACAGCCTGTGAGCCACGGTTCTACAGCCAGACTCCAGCGTGGGCATCTCAAGGCTGAGCTCGCTGTGAGGCTGGGCTCCTTCTGGCCCCTCCCGCTGCAGCCGAGGCTCCCGGCCGGCAGACTCTCCCCTCTTGTCCCCACCCTTCCGCTCTACTTCTATTGAGCAAGAACAGTGGGCCACCCTTGCTGTCTCTCCTAGGGACCTGGGGTCAGTTGTGCTATACCCTAATCCCCCACTGCCTCTCCCCAGGTGTCAGAGGGGACTGGAAGGAGCACATCTCTCCAGAGCAGAGCGAGAAGTTCAACGCTGTCTACCGGGCCAAGAGGGGCAACGTGGGCGTCCACCTCCCTTGGGCCCGGGACCGACCCAGCCACTCACTGCTTGTCCTGCCCGGATCCCGAGCACCTTGGCTGTGCCAACCCCACTGGCAGTGATGTGGCAGTAGAAGAACTTGGTGGGGGGTGGGGCTTGGCCATCATTTGTTCCTCCTTCGCCCGGTGTACCCCAGTGGACTGGTACAGTCGCTTCAGTGCCTTCCCTGGCTGTCCCTCCCCACGCCCCACTCCAACATGAGCCAGCCAGGCAGGCAGCCTTGCACTCCCCTCCACATCCCCGCTTCAGATGATGCTGTTGTCTTTTAGAGAACGAAGAGGGGAGCTGGGAGACAAAATCAGGATCTGGGCCCCAGTTTTTATTTATTATTATTTTTTTAATGTATTTAGTCCAAGGTCTACAGGGTCTCACTACACAGATTGGACTCGTAGTGATCCTCCCGTTTTCAGCCTCCCAAGGGCTGGGATTACAGGTGTGTGCCACCACTCCCGGTCTCAATCGCATCTCAGAGTGCCCCGGGGGAGAGAGCACACAGAGGATCAAACCCGGGTCCCTGCGCTGGCCTAAGCAGGTGCTCTAGTCTGCTGAGCTCTCTGGCCAGCCCTTGGGCCCCTACCACCTTTTCAGCCTTGCCCCAACCTGTGCTGCCCCGTAGGCAGCGCTCCCTCCCCAGCCGCTGCTCCAGTTGGGCTAGCAGGGCCCCCTTCTGTCCTGACCCAGGCTGCAGCACAGGCCGTGCTATGGTGAAGCTCACTGCGGTGCTCCTGCAAACTGCTCGCGAGTTGTTTCTGGGGTAGTGTGCTGTCTTAAGTTACTTCCCCTTTGCTGAAACGCAGCGCCCAACCCCACCCCCGGGAGTGGAGAGGCTTGCTCCGGTTCACAGCTTGCAGCGGTTTCAGCGCACGCACGGCCGGCCGGCTGGCTGCAAGGCAGGGCGGCGGCAGAGCAGAACCAGCCCACGCACTGCCGGCAGGAAGCGGCGCCACGGAGGGGCGGGCGGACTGGGATGCGCAGATACGCCGTCCTGGCCACGCCCAGGCCCGGCGCTCCCGCCGCGCCTCTCCGCAGCAGCTCGCAGGCCTCCGGGGACCGCCCGCCCGCACCCACCGCAGTAGTCGTGAGCCCCGCTCCCCGCCGCTCCCCGCCGCTCCCCGCCGGTGAGCGCACGAGGCGTTAGCAGGACATCTAGATATAATCATAACGTGTGTTCCAAGAGTCCTGCAAATCTTTTTGAGATTATTTTTAACCTTGAACGGTGTGAATGGTGAAGTCGTTTCCAAAGACAGAGCAGTAGGAAAAACTCAACTTGACTCCTGGGAGGTGGAGTGGTGAGCGGCAGTCGGAGAGCCTCTCCGAGATTTGGTGCCCAGACACTTGGATTTAGCAACAGGGGGAAGGAAGGGACGGAAGAGGGTCCCCGGGACCAGCAAGGGTCTGCAGCGAGGAGTGAAGCGCACGGGAACATGCAGCCGAAGGAAGAGGACGCAGGGCGGCCTTCCGGGGCCTCACTTCAGGGAGGGGTGGCTGGAAGGTGCAGACGTAAGGTTGCCGCTGGAGACGCCACAGTGCGTTGTGGCCGCGGATCGCGCGGTTCAGGTGCCCCGCAGAGAGGGCGACTGGCCAGCAGGCATCGTGGGGAGCCCGACTGAGCCCAGCACTATCCCTTCAGGCTGGGCTTGTGCTCACTTTGTAGCCCAGGCTCCTCCCAGACTCCCAACGATCCTCCTGCCTCAGCCTCCTGAGTACTTTCTTTTTTTCCTTTTCTGATTTCTTGTTTGTTTTTAGGGCTGCAAATGTTGCCTGCAGTCGTCTTGCTGTCCTGTCCTGTTTCATTCTGTGCTTGTTTTTATTTCCTCCTCTTTCGCTCCTGTCACCTGCACGTTGCCCTAAATTCATGTCATCTCCTTTGCCCTCCAGCCTTCCTTCTAATCTCTTCTTACTCTATTTCTCTGGTTTTGCCCAGTCCTTTTAAAATTTTCTCCTCTAAGGGTAAAATCACCATATTGAGGGCATATTTACTGTATACAATTTTATGATTTCTTTTAAATTTGGTTATATGTCTATAAATCTAGTTGATATGTTTAAAGGTGGTACCTTAATAGTTACCACAGTGTATCATTCTGTAGGCTGTGCTTGATGCTATTATTATTGCTGATAGTACTACTTTAGCCAAGGTGACGTAATTGTCCTAATCGATTGTTCTTCCTGGTGTATAGATTAAGACTGAGATTGAGGACCGGGGAAATACGTGCCTGCCTGGCAAGTACAAGGTCCTGAGTGCAATCCCTTGTACTACACACATACAAAAAGACTGAGATTGCCTAAGGATCAAAAACAATACTATAGGCCAGTTCCAAAGAGCCAGGAGTTGCCAGGGAGATGGTTCAGTGGAATAAGTGCTTCCCTGGCAAGTGCAATCCCCGGTTCCGCCAAAACAACAACAACAACAAAGAGCCAGGGGCTGAGCCAACAGGCAGCAACTTCCCATTCCCAATAAATGAAAGAGGAGGATCTTGCAACAGACTCAAAGCCCAAATGCCAGACATATCTGGAAGATATTTCTGAGAAGCAGTCACTTATGAAAGGTTCAAATTCTAGCAATAAAAACTATCTGCCATAAGCTATTTATAAGCATCAACGCAGAAATTCAACTAAAAGAAAAGAAAATCAGAAGACAATTAAGATGCAACCTCACATGTTCAGGTCACCAAAAGTAAATCTAGAGACCAATGAGGTGGAACAATTTGAAAGCCACTCACCCAGACGTTCTGAAGTGCTAGCAGGGGAAGTAACAAAGCAGATGGAAGAGGCTCTAGAAAAAAAATCAGAAATAATCTCTCCAGTAACTACAGAGAGGGGGACCATAACGAAAGAATTGGTGAGTGACTCTAGAGCAGATACAGATTTAAACAGAAAAAATAGAGGAATTTAAGAAAATGGTGGAAATCATGAACAGCCAACGTAGAAAAGAAATGAAACATCAAACAGATTCAAACAGCTATCCAGGAGATTAAAACTTCCGTGGAAAGCACATAGAGCAAAATGAGGCAGTGTGAGGACAGGCCAGACACAGACAACGGGATTGTGGTGAGTGGTTATGAAAAGGAAGACTTTTTAAAATTAGGACGGGACCATGAAAAGCTCAATCCAACAGCTGCTAGAGAATGCAAAGCGGGATAATGTAAGACTGATGAGAGTCAATGAAAAAGCTGGAGGCAGTGGAAATGACATTTTAAAAATCTGTTCACAGAATTAATGGAAAAATACCCTCCAAGCATTGAGAAAGAACTTGACGCAGAGATAAGTGAGATATATAGAATTCTAACTAGCCATGATAGAAAAATTTGCACTAAGGCATATAATAGTCAAGATTCCAGGGGGCTGGGGAGATGGCTCGGCGGAATAAGCGCTTCCCTGGCAAGCGCAAGGGCCTGAGTTCAATCCCTGGTTCCGCAAAAAAATAAAGATTCCAGAAATTCAGCATAGGCACACAGTACTAAAAGCTAGCCAGGTGTGGCGGTGCATGCCTGTAACCCCTAGCAGTCAGGAGGCAGGGGCAGGAGGATGGCCCTGAGTTTGAGGCCAGCTTAGGGTACAAAGTGAGCTCAAGGCCATCCTGAACTGCATAGCAAGACCCTGTCTCAAAAAGACCAAAAAAAAAAAAAAAAAAAGTATAGAGAAAAAAGACATTTGCAAGACAAAGAACACCTGAAGAAATTCATGACCACCAAAGAAGCTCTCCAGAATTTTTGGAAGGGACTGGGAAGATAGGTCAGCAGTCTAAGCACCTGCCTGGAGAGTGCAAGGACCCAGCTTTGATCTCTGATACCACATGCTGTGCCAGCCTTGGAACCGACAGTGTGCTGTGACGGCGAACAAAGCCAGATGTGGTGGCGCATGCCTGGAACCCAGCACTGGGGAGGCTGAGACAGGAGGATCACTATGAGTCTGGGCTGCGTACTGAGACCCTGTACCAAATAAATAAATAGATTTTTAAAAAATTTAAACAAGGGCTGGCCAAAAAGCTCAGCAGATTAAAGCACCTGCAAGCAGACCCAGAGGCTGGGGCTTCGTCCCAGGCCTGCCATGCTGGTCCCGCCCACAGGGCTCCCTGAGATGGCAATTGAGACTGGGCATGGTGGCGCACGCCTGTAATCCCAGCTCTTGGGAGGCTGAACACAGTCGGATCAATATGAGTCTGATCTAGTAGTGAGACCCTGAACACCCTTGTAGACCCTGCCCTAAAATTAAAAAAAAAAAAAATTAAAATGTCCAGAAAGACATCCTAGAAAGGCTAACAAGGACTACAACTCCATAAACTGCAACAGAATGAATCTACCAGACAAGGGAAGAAACTAAAAGAGGGAGAAAAAAGGGAATCAATAGCAGGGAAATGACATAAGGACACATCAGTATGTATCGGTTACAGTCACCACTGTAATTGCTCTCAGTGCCCA